AAGGATGGGTAATAAACATGGTCAATAAACATACTGCGATAATATGAACATTATAGAATAACAATGAAAGAATATCTTGGATGAACTTGAGGATGTTATACTGAGTGAAGTAAGTAAATCACAAAAGGGTAACATATTGTATGAGAGGACTATTATAAAATGTCAAGAAAAAGTTTACACAAAGAAGCATCCTTCAGTAATTTCTAGAAGGGAAGGCAACTGGCAGAGGAAGAGTTCACTAACTATGATTACACATGATTAACTTGGGTGAAAGGAAAGGTAACTTCTAATCAGGAGGCAGTCAGCAAAACATGACCCAATCAAGGAAGAGACTGGGATTTTTTACAAGGGAAAAACTATGGTATATATATATAGGAGCTTTAAGAGGTTCATAGAAAAATTCTGCATGTTTTCATTCTACTTTTCCACCAATTTTTTGAAGTTTTTTGGGAAGTTTTTTCATATAAACCAATAGCAGTAATAACAATTTATGAGTGAATACATAGGCAGATACGTAAGCTGAACACAGCTTTGGTGTGGCACCTAAATAGAAATATACCTAATAAAATATACAGATTTGGTAGAAGATATTTCTACTTACATATTTATATGTGTGGCAAAAATATCCACGTAAATAGTCGAACATATAGATTACAGTTACGAGAGCTTCTAGGTCATAAGCAGAAAGCTTGACCAACAAAGGGACGGAGACACTTGGCAGTTTAGAACTACTGTCTTGGAGACATCCAGGTCAATTGACATAATACAGCTCCAGAACACATGGTGTTACATTCTAATTAGGTGAGTAGTAAATGGTCTAAAAAATCTTTGAAAACAGGCATCTAAGATGCACTTAGTCCAGAGCAAAGAACGAAGAAGAAAATCAAGACTCAGGGAAACAATTAGCCTACAGGACTAATGAACCACAGGAACCACCACCTCTCTAGCTTGAGACCAGAATTATACAGTACCTGACTAACACTACCATTACTCTGATCGTGATCGCTACCTACAGAAGATCCCATGCTGAGTGAGAAATAAATGTATTCACAAAATTCAAAATCATATGAAAGATCAGACTTGCTGGTCAAACAGAGACTGATGGAACCCCCAGGACCACATTCTTAGCTACCATTCAAACCTAGAACTAGATCTACCCTTAAGGATCACCTTTCAGCTAAACAACCTATAAGCCTATACAGTGAGCACACAACACCTGCCAGGACAATACTCCTCAGAGAGAGACAGCATTTGCCAAAAGGCAAAGTTGAGAAGGCAGGAAAGAAGGATGAAGAGACACAGGGAACTCAAGAAGTGAAGAGTGCTGTTACATTAAAAGGATTGCATGTCATGAAACAAAATGTGTATAAATTGTTGACTGGAAATCTAATAGACTTTTTGAACTTTCACCCAAATTGCAATAAAATGTTCTGGGAGAGGAGATGCAAACAGTGATGACAAACCAAATAAATGACAGATAGTGAGTGACATAAATACAGGAGGAATCCGTCCAAGTACATTTTGTTTTGCACAAAGGAAATATTACTTACATACATAATCTGGTATGATCATGATCAAACCAACTATCAGCACTGGGCTTTCCGAATTAAACTAAGATATGCATGTTTTTGAGGGAGGGAGCATTATTTCAACAAAATATTGCTTTAACCAGCAAAGGCACAGATAATCTCCATACCATCCAAACTTGAAACAGATCATAAATTTGAGCTTGGTTTTCTAGTAACTGTTTCCCCAAAAATAATCAGACAGGAAGAATAAACAACATAGACATATACACATGTTTAGGTTATCTTTTTTTTCTTTAGATTATCTTAATATAAGGAAAATAAAAACTGATATAGATAAAAGCCGTAAAAAATGTATTATTAGAAGTGTCTCCTTAATGAAACTGCTTTCTTTTTCCTTGAGGAACATACCTTAAATGTAGGGGACAAATAATTCTTTAAGAACCAAAATTTCACAGGAGTCTTGGTATTCTTCAGTACCGACAGCATCATTATACTGTCAAACAAAGGCAAATAATGGCAATCTTTCAATGCTGCTTAACTTCAACAATATCAAATAGTCACTTAAAAGATTATGAAAAGTTCTTTCCAATAGAGCTAACTGATGGCTCAATTAGGCAGAGACCCATAATTATGGAAAATCACACTTTATCATTCATAGTGAAAAATTACAAGTCAAAAGAACTCTGGCTGTTAAGAAAGTGTTTCACTGATCCATCCTGATCACTGATGGCAGAGGCACTCCTAGTGCTGTCATTCTGTCAATCAGCAAATGCCTGTGGTCATGGTTACCTTATCTATAAATTAGAGGCTGGCTCTAAAATCTCATGCAATCACTAGAAGGCACTTCTCTATTGTGTGCCACTCTCCTGATTTTGGTTTTAAGCAGTTTTGTGGCAAAGCAAACTTGGTTTCTAAGGTATATAAATGATGTTAAAGGTTTATAGTTTTGTACTATGCATACAGACACATTTACTACATATGTCGACTTCTGGGAACTGACATGTTAAAGAAACTACATATGGATAGCTAGTCACAATTCTCACGTATATGTGAGAATTCATTCACAGATACAGAAATAATCAACAAGACTAACCGAAGAAATCTCTCGTACAGATGACCAGATGCAACAGAGAAAATATTAATTATGTTATCTTTGTCTTGTTTCACTTCCTCAGTCTTCTGTCCTCCTGAAAAACCCCTGAAACAATGAAGATTAAAAACAAACAGTTAAAATATATGGGTATAGACA